TGGATGACTCGTGCGTGCCACATGGATGACTCGTGCGTGCCACATGGATGACTCGTGCGTGCCACATGGATGACTCGTGCGTGCCACATGGATGACTCGTGCGTGCCACATGGATGACTCGTGCGTGCCACATGGATGACTCGTGCGTGCCACATGGATGACTCGTGCGTGCCACATGGATGACTCGTGCGTGCCACATGGATGACTCGTGCGTGCCACATGGATGACTCGTGCGTGCCACATGGATGACTCGTGCGTTCCACATGGATGACTCGTGCGTGCCACATGGATGACTCGTGCGTGCCACATGGATGACTCGTGCGTGCCACATGGATGACTCGTGCGTGCCACATGGATGACTCGTGCGTGCCACATGGATGACTCGTGCGTGCCACATGGATGACTCGTGCGTGCCACATGGATGACTCGTGCGTGCCCCATGGCTGACTCGTGCGTGCCACATGGATGACTCGTGCGTGCCACATGGATGACTCGTGCGTGCCACACGGATGACCCGTGCGTGCCACATGGATGACTCGTGCGTGCCACATGGATGACTCGTGCGTGCCACACGGATGACTCGTGCGTGCCACACGGATGACTCGTGCGTGCCACACGGATGACTCGTGCGTGCCACACGGATGACTCGTGCGTGCCACACGGATGACTCGTGCGTGCCACACGGATGACTCGTGCGTGCCACATGGATGACTCGTGCGTGCCACACGGATGACTCGTGCGTGCCACACGGATGACTCGTGCGTGCCACATGGATGACTCGTGCGTGCCACATGGATGACTCGTGCGTGCCACATGGATGACTCGTGCGTGCCACATGGATGACTCGTGCGTGCCACATGGATGACTCGTGCGTGCCACATGGATGACTCGTGCGTGCCACATGGATGACTCGTGCGTGCCACATGGATGACTCGTGCGTGCCACATGGATGACTCGTGCGTGCCACATGGATGACTCGTGCGTGCCACATGGATGACTCGTGCGTGCCACATGGATGACTCGTGCGTGCCACATGGATGACTCGTGCGTGCCCCATGGATGACTCGTGCGTGCCACATGGATGACTCGTGCGTGCCACATGGATGACTCGTGCGTGCCACATGGATGACTCGTGCGTGCCACATGGATGACTCGTGCGTGCCACATGGATGACTCGTGCGTGCCGCACGGATGACTCGTGCGTGCCACATGGATGACTCGTGCGTGCCACATGGATGACTCGTGCGTGCCACATGGATGACTCGTGCGTGCCACATGGATGACTCGTGCGTGCCACATGGATGACTCGTGCGTGCCCCATGGATGACTCGTGCATGCACATCCCCTTTTCATGCCTGCCCGCATAGCCTTGAATGATGACTCATGGGCGCCCCATGGATGAGTCATGAGTGCCTGGGAAAGAAAGAACTAAGCTGTCTGTTTGTTTTTCCCCTTGAGTGCCCAGTGGTTGACTCGTGAGTGCAGCACATCCCCTTGATTGCTGTCCGTTATAGTTATGGATAACTCGTGAGTTGCTTGCCGCTGCATGGACGACTCGTGCACTCGCCCCCTTCACCTGCGTGCTCTGCTCTGCTTTCCCCTGTAAGTACACTTCCCCAATTTGCATGCGCCCAGTATCACTCACCCCTCGTGGATGCCCCCTTGCCTGGCCCTGCCTGGCCCCCTTGCCTGACCCTGCCTGGCCCTGCCTGTGTGGCCCTGCCTGCCCCTGTCTGCCTGCCCCTGTCTGCCTGCCCCTGCGTGGCAGGTACTTCTACTACAACGGTCTGCCACGCCCGACGCTGCTCAAGATCGTCGCCAACCTGGACCACATGGTCATTCAGAAGTCCTACTGGGTATGTATGGCCCTTCCCGTCAACCCTCTTCTCCCCCATGGCAATGGAGCTCGAGTTTCGAGACTCCTCAAACACGCATGCTCAAGATCGTCGCCAACCTGGACCACATGGTCATCCAGAAGTCCTACTGGGTACGGCCCTACCCTTCAACCCTCTCCTCTCTCAGTGGACACAGCCTTACCCCCCTCCCTTCTTGCACGGCAAAGGAACTCGAGGTTTGAGACTTCTCAAACGACTCACTCAGACTTCTCAAACGACTCACTCAGACTTCTCAAACGACTCACTCAGACTTCTCAAACGGCTCACTCAGACTTCTCAAACGACTCACTCAGACTTCTCAAACGGCTCACTCAGACTTCTCAAACGGCTCACTCAGACTTCTTCTCCATCTGTTCTCTCCCCCAGTCTCTCTCCCCTCCCCATCCGCTCCCACTGCCCCACCCTCTTCCTGTCTTGACTCTCGCTCCTTCATCTCCTCACCTTTACCCACATCTATTTCCACTTCCTTCGTGGCCGTCGTCCCACTCCCCTTCTTCTATTTTGTCCCTTTGTAAGTCCTTCCCCACGGCCCCACTCCCCCCCCTCACACTGCATATCTAGAGTGCTTCCATACGCTTCTTCTCCTCACTCCTATTGCCCCCTTGACTTCCTTGCACCCGTCCGCCTCCCGTATTCTCCTATCTCCGACCATCCAACCTGTCAGGCCTATGATGCGGCCATCTCCTTCCTCGCCTCTCTCCCTTGTCACCCACCCCCCCCACCCCCACCCTCCCCTTCCCCCCCTCTTCCTTATTCTTCTGCTGTCTCCGACCACCCAACCTTTCAGGCGTATGATTCGGCCATCTCCTTCCCAGTCTCACCCCTATTTCCCTCTTGCCTTTCTGGCACTCCTCTGCCTCCCATATTCTCCTCTCTTCCACCACCCTTTCTTCCACCACCCTTTCTTCCACCACCCTTTCTTCCACCACCCTTTCTTCCACCACCCTTTCTTCCACCACCGTTTCTTCCACCACCCAACCTTTCAGGCCTACGATGCGTCCATCTCCTTCCTCGCCTCTCTCCTGCACGTCAACTCCTCCTGCGCATCTCTCCCCGCCTCCTCCCGCCCCTCCCTCACCTGGACTCGCCCCACCAACCCCACCCCCTCCTCCCTCGTTCCCCACACCACCTCCACCTCGTCAGACTCCCCTTCCTCTCACACCCCTCACACCCCTCACAGCCCTCACACCCCTCAGCTGTCTAGTCTCCCAGACGCAGAGGCAGCAGCAGTGGGGGCGGCAGTGGGGGCAGCAGTGGCAGCGGCACAGAATCCCCCCTGGGAGTGTGTGCCTGAGCTGCCAGCTGTTGATTGGCCGCAGCTGAGGTGGCGCTTTGATTGGCCCACGTTCACCATTCATGCCACGTCAGACAGGAAGCCATTGGCCGTTAGAGCGTGGTGAGAGGGATGGGAGTCAAAGGGAGAGGAATGGGTTGGGTGAGGGAAATTGGCGATGTGTGGAGGGAAGTGGGCGAAGGGCTAGTACGAATGGTAGGTGCAGGGCTCTCAGAAAGCAAGAGATGTTGACTCTTTTATATTTTCCCCGTTATTGGAACCTCCAAAGCACTGCCCAGCAGGCTGGGGAAAGATAGGGGATGTTGGCTTGACTGCACATGAATGGTCCCACTCCCACAGGCCCCGCCCTTCTCCATTCCTCCATTCTACCGGCCGATGCTTCAGATGCTTCAGACATGCCGTAAGGGAAAGGGCTGCTAGAGCAAGGGGGTGCGGGTTGGATGACTGTGATGCATAAACATTTAACTGTCTCTGCAATTGAACTCGAGCTGTGGGTCACACTGCTGTGGGTCACACTGCTGTGGGGCACACTGCTGTGAGTCACAGTGCTGTGAGTCACACTGCTGTGAGTCAAATTGCTGTGAGTCAAATTGCTGTGAGTCAAATTGCTGTGAGTCAAATTGCTGTGAGTCAAATTGCTGTGAGTCAAATTGCTGTGAGTCGCATTGCTGTGGGTCACATCATAACATTCCTCCCCACTCTCCCCCCCGTTCCTCCCTGTCTGTCGCCTCCTTCCCATGGCCCCCCTCTCCCTTGCTGCAATGCAGGACTGGTCGCACGATTCAAGGCAGCAAGCGGCGGGACTTCCGGTTCATTGTGAAGCAGGGGCTCACCGGGTGGTGAGTGCCATGCAGGGGAGAGAGGGCTCACCGGGTGGTGAGTGAATAGCCTGGTGGAAAAGACACACTTTTTTGTCTGTCAAGACCAGTTCATGTGGATGTGCATTCGCTGCTGAATGAGCAACAGTTCCCTCCTCTACCCTTACCTCTCCATTTACCTTCACCATCCCTCCTCCCCTCCTTCCCTCCTCCCCTGCTCCGCTCTTCCCCTCCTCCTCTCCTCCCCTCCTCCCCTCCTCCCCTCCGCCCCTCCTCCCCTCGTCATCGCCAGCACGGTGCCATTCAAGAGTGCGTCGGACAGCTACATAGGCAAGTTCGGCACGCTCTGTCTGCAGCCCATCCCGTTCGTCCTGCATGCCGTCTCGCCGCCCGCGCTACAGCCTGATGGGCTCTGGTACTTCAATTCCTCCATCAGAGACATTCCCAAGGTGAGCGTGATCAAGTGGTGATTGCGCGTGGTGAAGGGAAATAATTGTAATTAAGTGTATTAACTTTCAACGAAGTGCTAAAAGTTCAATGAAGTGTAGAGATGTGGTAATTTTCTTATGGGTAATCGATTCCAAGTAAGGTGTGAATGACAAGGAATGTTGCCCCATGAAAGGGGAACAGCATGTGTTGCTCTGCTTCAGTTACCATTCTGTCATACCTTTGGTGGCTTTTCCAGCTGTAATGTATTTCAAACAACCTGGTTTCTTCAAGTTCCCACCAGTTGATGCTATATCCTGCTCTTCACCAACCGAAGTGCCCACACAGTTCAATGCCCACTTTCTCTGCTTATTTTATCAGATGTTCCCTTTATGCCTTGACCCATCTTTTACCATGGTCATAACCTTCTTTCACCATGAATGCACTTGTCCCACATTGTACTCTGATCTCTCCCTCGTGCTCCATGACTCAGGTGGGCTATCGGGCACTGTTTATTGAAGTTTATTTTAAGCACGGACCCTACCACAAGCCCTTTGTTCTCACTACCGAATCCATGATAGCACCAAATACATTTCCATTTGCCCCTTGCAATAGCACAGCTTGCTTGACTGAATTTGCGTGATTCTGCATTGATTTTTTTTTTCCTGGCGTTGAACTTGCTTGAGGAACAAATGGCAGAACGTTAGTACTCGTCGTTAGGACAGCTTCTTCACCAGCCGGACGCTCCATTTCTCCTCTTTGTTGTAAAAGAAATATCTAGAACTCTACATAGAAGCTGGCGTAAACAGCCAAAGCGCCTAGTATCTCAAAACTTTTCTAGCGCGTACGGAAGGTGTCAGACTTGCCCTGGTTCGAGGCATTGCTCGAGTGCGGGAAAACGGTTCGGCTTGGATCTGCCCTGCTTCCAGACCTCACCACAACAAATGAAAATTTATTCAAAGCTCAAATTCGCCAATCCCTAGGTTCAGTCATCTCCGCTCCCTCACCCTGGGACCGAGAAGGAAAACCTACTTCTGCCACTTACATTCAAACGAGCTCCGTACACTCGCCGTCAATCGCTGGCAGAGCGATTCTGTGATATTGGTCGAGCATCTCTTGAAAGCATCTTGGAGAGTATTTGCGATGACTTAGTCCCGATCAGAGGCAGAGACGTGCGCGTTCTCGGCAAACACCGCCGTTGTTACATTCCGTTGTTTCTTCTTGTTTCTTTAGTGCAAAACTATTGGTGTCATCTGATGTCGCATACTCTGCAAGCGTCCGCGTTATAATCACGCCAGGACCTGTGAATTCCGCCTCGAGTATTCGTAGATTCGGTGATCGTCCTCCCGCGCGTCGCAGGCAGCAGGCATCCGCGACAGTCGCTTCAGCGATAGTAGGGGTGTCGACAGAGAGGCGAAAACATGGCGCTCTCTCTGCGACAGAAGCAGATAGGTGAGCGATGGTGGGGACGACATAGCAGCTACCTGACCTGACCCGACCTGGCCTGACCCAGTGTGGTGGGACCCAGTGTGTAGTGAGTACTGGCCAGAGCCCGGCTCCCTGAGAAAAGTGGCCAGAGGGGCCATAGTGACACCGACTGTGCAGGAGGCAACATGCTCGTCCAGTGGGAAAGTAGTGACTACACCTATGTCTTGAAGGTGACTGACACCCACCAGGTTCCTGGAGAATGAGGGGGTGTAGTAATCTATGAGAAACCCAGAGGGAGCCGCCAGACACGGGAGAGTGGTGGTGCTGCGGGCAACTACAGGTCCCACGGAGGGGTCAGCCAAGGCGACAGTGACTGGAGTGCGCAGTGGTGTGAGGTCAGTACAGTCGCGAAAGAAACAGCTGGACACTCCAGAGTCTAGGGTGAAGGAAAGATGTGCAGTCTGTGAGGTCGCACCCGAGCCAGCGACAAAGGCTGGTGCTAGACTAGTGGTAGCTGCAGCTCCTACACAAAGACTCTCAGAGGTGCCTGGACTGGAAACAACACATGTCTCAGGCGCCGCATCGAAAGCCTTCAGTGCCAACCTAGCTGGTCCTTTCCCCCCCAGCTCCCTCTCCAGTGACTCCATCCCTCTTAGTGTGGGAATTCCTTCTTTGTCATAGTTGATCAAGTGTCCCGGCCTCATCTCCCACAAAGGTTTCGCGTCCTTCTGCCCTCCAACTGGTGTGGACCCCCTGAGGAGAATACGCTTGTTAAACACTATCCGCTCTCCCTCCGCAGCCTCCCGAGTAACAATCTCCGGCAACTCCCCCAGCGGCGACTTCATAAAGTTTTCACACGCAATTTTCCACCGAGCACTTCGCCCTTCCCATCGCCGCAGTAGTTTATCATGTGCGAAGAAAGACTCAATGCCCATAGGAAGCTCAGCCGCCCACATCATGATCTCTTTCTTGAGCACGTTCTTCTCCGTGATCAGCAGCCCCACCCTCCTTGCCGAGAGACAAGCAAGGATCATCTCCGGGTCACATACTCCAACTCCCCCATCCTCCCTTGACGTGTGCAGGAGATCCTTACTCCACAACCGGAACACCCTGTCAGCCGTTGCCTTGTTCCCGGATACAAAGTTCTGGAACGTCTTAGAGAGCGCATTCCAGGTTACTGGCGGCGGCGGATATACTTGCGCCTGGAACGCCACCACCGACATAAAGTAGCCGTTCACCACCGCCGCTCTCGCCTTCGTCGGAAGATAATTTTTCTCCCATGTTTTAAGTTTTCCGACCACGCTTGCCCCCGCCTTCTCCCATGTTGGCTGACAACTTCCTGCCGGTGTTACCCAAATTCCCAGCAGTCTCTCTGCCTCATCCGCTCCCGCCCATCGGAAACTCTGTGGTCTGCATGAGTGCCTGTGCAGGTTATCGCCCAGCAGCAGGATGACTGACTTTTCCACATTCGTCTCCAGCCCCGAGGTAAGCTTAAACTTCTCCAGTACCTTCTCCGCCTTAATGATTTGCTCCTTCCCCTCCAGAATCAGTGTGGTGTCGTCGGCATACCCGATGTACGAGAGACGCTCATCTGCCTTGCTGAGCCCCAGCTTTTTCCGCCACACCTCTTGCGCCAACGGTTCTACTGCGCAGAGGAACAGGTATGGAGCAAGCGGGCATCCCTGCCTTACCCCAGATAGTACTTCCACTCCATCTCCGAACCATCCGTTTATTAACAGCCGAGTCTGTGTTCCCTTGTGCAGTCCTTCGACCCAGCCAACCAGCCGCTCCGGGAAACCCATCTCCCTCAAGATCTTGAAGGTGTAGTCCCTCGACACCGAATCATATGCCTTCTTGAAGTCAACGAGTAACAGAAACCAGTCCTTATTCTTGTTCCGAGCCGCATCAATCACATCGGCGATCAATCCCACTGCGTCCGTGAGTCTTCTGCCCGGCAGGAAGCCGTACTGCTCCTCTGAAATCACCTTTCCCAGCACCTTCTTCATTCTGTCAGCAATCACCCTCGCCAGCACTTTGTAGGTGAAGTTTAGAAGAGTTATCGGTCTATAATTATTCAACTGATCCTTGTCCCCCTTCTTGTGCAGGAGTATCGTAACGGCTTCTTTGACATCGGTGGAGAGTGAAGCAGAAGTCGCGAAGTCCTTCGCCATTGCCATAAACCCTTTACCCAGCAGGTCCCAGTGCGCTTCAAATAGTTCTTTCGGCAACCCATCCTTTCCAGGCGACTTGTTAGCCGCCATCGCTCCAAAAGCTGCCTTCACCTCTTCTTCTGTCCAGTCAGCTGCCAGCTCCTCTGCCTCCCACGTCTCCAGCTTTTTCCCTTTTATCGGCTTCCAGTTCTCCTTGAGACGGCATCTGTCTTCTCCGAAAATACCCGCGAAGAAAGTCGATGCTGCCTCCAAGATCCCTTTAGAGTCCGAGACTGCGCCGCTCGCTGTCTGTAACTCCGCGATTTGCGTGCTTTCCTTCCTCGCCTTCACCATTGCTGACAGATGCGGGGACGGCATTTCACCGGTAAGCTCCACCCGTAGTCCCGTCATCAGCTGCACCCGGTCCTTCTTAGCCGCATGGTACTCTTTAAGCTGCACCTCTTTTTCTGCTAACAGCATCGTCGTACGTGAGCAGGCCGGATTCCTCATCGATTCTTGCCGAAGCTCCGCCACCATATCAACCAGATGTGAGACCGTGGCTTTGACTCTTTTCCCCTCCTCCTTCATGTACGCGCGTAGCCCAACACCAAGCCGGGTAAGTAGTAACTCAAAGCTGCTGCCATCTGACACCGTCACCTTCTCCACCGTCGCCTCTACGATCCTCCTGACTCCCCTTCTTCGAACCATTGACGCGTGTAGTCTCCACATCCCTGGACCAACTCGGATCTGAGCATCCGTCCTCAGCGCCACTCTCACCGCAAAACAGTGGTCAGATATGTACTCTTCTGGCATGATGTGTGAGGCTTGGGTTAGATGAGGTAAGAGAGAGTGAGATAGTAACGCTCGATCTATCCTCGTACTGGCTTTTTTTGCTTGTGAGTAAAAGGTGAACTCCCTTTTCGACGGGTACAGTGTTCTAAAGGCGTCAGATAGCTGAAACTGGCTGCACCGATTGTAAAGTCTGGCATTCTCCGCTGCTGTTCCTAACTGCGATGACTTATCTAGGAGAGGGTCCTCTATTGTGTTCAGATCTCCCATGATGAGCAGGTGCGACGATGGCTGGATTGAGTCTACCATGGGACCTAAAACGGATCTAAGAAAAGCAGCTCTGGAGGTCGGATCTGCAGGGAAGTAACACGCTAAGATGGTAATGTTGATGCCTGGACCAAGAATCTCTGCCTGAATGACTCTACCGGAAGGATGGACTACGATGTTGCGGAAACTAAGCGCCGGCTGCCTACATACCACCGCTCCTCCACCAGCCTTGGCTTGAGGCGTGGCGGCTGCTACGAAGGTAAACGACGGGTGTGCCCAGAAGGAGTGTGAGGCGTCTAATCTAGTGTCTGAGAGAACTATAATATCGGCAGCCTTCCTGAACCAGTCTTTAACTCGCTGTTGTTTAGTGCCGTCTCCTAGGCCGTTGA